CACAGACCCAGTCCACACACTAGAAATGAGCCTTTCTCCCAGAGTTAGCCCAGAACTCTCAGATCCAAAACCACACTTCTTTCTTTCTTTTTTAAGTCTGATTTGCGAAGTTTTTAGTATTCGTGTCTCAGGGATACAGTGTGACTCCCCCACACCCTCTACCAGAATATCATCATCCCTCTTCTGTCACCTCTACCCTCTCTTCACCTCACCAAGCAAACTCACTCAGCTCTTGAAGACCAACTCAGGTCTGCTACCATGGACCGTTTGTATTCCTTTACTCTGTTTATGCTACACATATGAGGGAGATTATCTAGTATTTGCCCTGTTCCCTCTGACTCACTTCACTCAACACATTACTTCCTGCCTGTACCTCTATCCTGGTAGCAGCAAACAGCAGGATAACATCTTTTCATGGCTGAGTAGTATGCCATGTTGTCTATACACCACAACTTTTTAAAATAAAATCATACCTGCATGTTAATATTTTTGTCTTTATGCAGTTGTTCTTTTTTTTAATTATTGAATCACCCATGAGATATCGCTACAAAGCTTTCATGATTGAGTTTCAATCATACAATGATCAAACACCCATTTTCCCCCATCAATGTTCCCAGTATACAGCACTGTTTCTTTACCCACTCATCTGTTCTTGGACAGCTGGGTTGTTTCCAGATCTTGGCTACAGTGAATGATGCTACAGTGAACAAAGGAGTGAAAATATTTTCACAATATTGCTTGGGGGCACTTTGGTAGATCTTCAGAAATGTAATCGCTGGGCTATATGAAAGCAGAATTCTTATTTTTAAAAGTCTGTACTATTTTCCCTAAAAGCTGAGCTGGGGGGCTGGAGTGATAGCACAATGGGTAGGACATTTGCCTTGCATGTAGGTAACCCGGAGGTTCAATTCCCAGCATCCCGTATGGTCCCCCGAGCACCACCAGGAGTAATTCCTGAGTGCAGAACCAGGAGTATCGCCTGGTGTAACCCAGAAAAGAGAAAAAAAGCTGAGCCAGACAGCATGTGGGGGAACAGGCCAGTGTCAGGGGCGCACAGGACTTAGAAGCTAGTAGGAGTCAGAACCAGGCATGGTGATTCGCAAAAGCATCGAGGTTCCATTAGAAGCTGCTTGGGGAAACACTGGGATGTCCAGGCAGCCTCATCACGAGTTCAGGCAATAGGGGACCACTAAGGTGCGCTAGGCTTGCTCTCGTCTCCAAGAAGTTCGCGGCATCCACAGACAGATCACCCGGACTAGTTGAGTAGCCCAGCCGAGCAGGCAGCGTGCACCCACGGCACACAGGCCTCCAACCCCAAGGCCCACATTGATTGGGTTCTTGTGTTTGTCTTGTGTTGTGCAACCGAGATCCCCAATATCTGGTGTCCCACCCAATATCTCGAGAGAAAAGACCAAGGAAGTAGATTTCTCCTAGTCGGAGAGGGAGAAAGAGACAGTCCTTGAGCAAGGGGAGGATGGGAGTCAGCCAGAGCTCGCCTTTGTACCTTATGCAGCCTGTGCACTCAGGGTGTGGGCCAAAGGCTATGGGAAGGGGTTCCCGCGTGGGAGGAGTTAGCAGGCTGTCCAGAGCACCTCAGGTGGGAGGAATTAGCAGGCTCCTGGAGCATCTCAGGCAGGAGGAGTTAACAGACTGTCCAGGAGCACGTTGGCGCCTCCCAGGCTCCACAGTGTGATGCAGGTGCCTGGCATTAGGGCACTAGGGGTGTTATCTGGGGTGACTGGGATGTGCCCACTGGATGTTGGGCTTGAGTCTTGTCCTGCTTACTCTCTCTAGCAGAGCTTTGCAAAGCAACACCAGGATGCCTCCTGACATCTGGTCCTCTCTCACAACGCCCTGCCTGGAGTTAGTCAGAGGGAATGGGGTCTCGGGGGCGGGGGAAGGGGCGACTCTGAAACCTCTCAGGTCTCTGTGGTGAATCACAGGATTTGAGAATAGTGGGGATGTCCTCAGGGCTGGCACGTATTGGGGGTGTCGGGTGTTTGAATTGCAGGTGGGGAGCGGACAGTCGCTTATGGTGCCTTTGGGGTGAACAGGGCCTGCTCGAGGTTGTGTTGGAGGGTGAAAGCGCCCAGCAAGCTGTGGGGAGAGCTCTGAGAGTGCTTCTCTTTCTCTCCCATGCTGTCTGGCACCCTCAAAGGCCAGAGCAACACTGGGTCTCCATGCTGTGTCCCTCACCTGCCATGGGGCCAGAGGTCCCCTGCGCAGACCATGGCTAGTCCAGCTTCAGAGCCCAGCATCGGGGAGACACTCCGTGGGTTGTACAATTCAACAGCCAAAGGAATCCAGCCCCATCAGTATGCTCGGGTGACCTCAGAAATGAAACCAATTTCCATGACTAATGGGTGCAGATGAGCAAGAGGCAAAGCACAGACACGCTGATAAACAGGGAAGGGCCACGACAGGTGCTCAGGGCCATGCCGCGGGGCTCTGTTGGTGCCCCCCAGCCACAGCCTGGGAGGGTGTGCAAAGGAGCCGGGGACAAGCCGCCCTGCCGACTAAAGTTCTGAGCATGTCACAGTCCGGTCCAGCCCTCCCCTGGTGCTCCCCTCCCCCTGCTCTTGTCCCTAGCCCCTCACACCTTTGCTCCCAGCCCCATGGACCACAGTCTTCTGGGGTGATGCTCTGCCGCCTATCCCCTCTGCTCTTCCTTCTGGAACTTTCCCAGTGCAGGCAGAGCAGGGGCTTGAGAAAACCCCCTCCTCTATCCTCGAGACCCCACCCACACCTCATCCTTCCCAGGCCCAGCCCTCCCAGTCCCCACGTGTCAGTAACTGTGCACTGGGCTCTGGGCCTCCTCTCTAAGGCCTGCCCCAGCCCGCTTTCCTCTGGGAGGAAAAGATAGGAGGCGGCCCTGGGCCTGCTGAACCTCTGCAGTGACAATCCCTACAGCCTCCCCTCTGTGATCCCAGACCCCTGCTGGACTGGGCAGCTGCTTCTCTGACAGTGAGGCCAGGCTGGCCGACTGGGTGCTGAGAAGCGTAATCACCAACCATCCCCATCCCAGCCTGAGAACAGCCTCCTCTCCTCCCAGTCCCCCAGGGCCCTGATGCCCACCAGCTCCCTGCGCCCTCTCAGCCCTCTCCCTGCCCACTGGCACCTCAGGTTGGCATTATTTCACCCAGTGGCTGGACCTTGACATTTCCGGGATGCTGACCCTGGCTGTGGCTGACCACGTGTTGTTCCCTGCCCACCTGCCCACCCACCCACCCACCCACACTCACACCGCAGGGAGAGTTTGATCAAGTTACTCCAGCTCTCGGAACCAGTTATCTCCCCTGGAAAAGTGGGATAATTCCTTTTGCCAGCTCCACTGAACCGGGGCCTTTGTGACAGGCCAACATTTTCCCAGGCCACATTCTGCAGATCACTGGTCCCCCGAGAAACAGTGGTACACATTTTCCCCCCAGGGGGCAAAGAGAGTTTTATGTCTCAAGCTTGAGGCGGGGGAGGCTAGCCTAGCCCAGAGGTGAGGGGATAGGTCGGAGGTGGGGGTGAGGGGGTTGGCGGTGCAGCGCCAGATAGGGCTTCGCCTATCATCTCCCTCCCCTCCATGGCTCAGAGCATCTCCTAGGTTGCTGGCCTCTGCACATGCATTGTTGTGGCTTGTCCCACAAGTGACAACGCTGATTATTCTGCAAGAAAGGTGTTTATTTCTTCACCTATCCAGGTCACCCGGCCAACACCTATTAATCAGTGGCTAAAATATGTATTTTATTTTAAAATAAGTGTGCCTTCTGGTCCCTCGACATTATCCTGGGTACCGCCTGAGGCCTCTCTGGGGATGGGGAAGGGACCTCTATGGTGGGGCTTGCCTAGGACCCCCCCCCCCCCCCGCCTTCTCCACACTGGACTGTGCCTCCAGGCAACCAACAGAACCATTGTCCTGTGGATGTGTCTTTCGTGTTCTGTCCCCTACCTCCGTCCCACCTCTCTTCCCACGTGTAACTCATTCTTCAAGTCTCAGCTGAGCCCCGGCTTCCCCCTGAGAGTTTATCCAACTCTTCCATGTGGTGCAGCCGGAAACTTGGACTCCCAACTCCATCATCCCAAGCAGTCAAGCACTTTTCCCCGTCTGGGTGTCCCCAAACACCAGGACTCGTTTTGTGCCTGCCCTCTGCCTCCTCCACTCCAACAGACCAGAAGCTGAACTAGCGTTTCCAAGTGGAAATGGGTCCTTTGGGGCAGAATTAGTGGCAGCTTTGTACACAGGGTCACTCATGCCATTGCAAGGGTCTTACCCAGGTTGAGGAAGACAGGAGACCCAGCTTTACGAAGTCCATGGACAAGACCAAAGCATAACCCCTTCACTGCATACCAGTGTGTTGGATGGCATCATAGGGAAGATGTAGAAGCATAAAATAGGCTCCTGGTGAGAGCAGGTGTGGATAAAAGCAGGCCAGATAAGGATCAGTCCCCCACCCACCCACACACACACACACCATCTCTAGCAGCAATGCCATGGTGTATGCCAGCCTGGTGAGGGGGGCCAAGGGATGTCTCCAAAAAGGCAAGACCGTGAGAGGCTTTGTGGGAAGAAGGTTCGAGTTTTTTGACTGAGTTGCAGAGGACAATCTTACTGGAGCCAGAGGGTCAGGATAGATGCTAGAAGGGGAGTGTCAGATGGGAACCTTCTAAACCGCCCCCACACACACACACACGTGCAATCACACCCAACACAGTCACACATGCATACACTCACACCTGCATAGTCTTTGAGAACCCCACTTCCCTGCTTTTCCATCGTATCCTCTTGCCTCTTCTTCTCACCTGTACCATTCTTCCTCCCCGAGTCCTCTGTCACCTCCCGGTCCTGGGGCCATCTATGGTTACCTCATTGGAACAGCCCTGTCTGCTCTCAGTAGCTAGAGGCTGGCTTTGGTGAGAGGCTGGTGGACACAATGCCCAGTGCCCACTCCCTGTGGGGGGTCCATGGGGACAGAGGGCAGCTTCAAATGAGTGTTCTCCCTTCTTTTCCACAGAAAACCAAAAGAGACGTCAATAACTTTGACCAAGACTTTACCCGGGAAGAGCCGGTCCTCACCCTGGTGGATGAAGCCATCGTGAAGCAGATTAACCAGGAGGAATTCAAAGGCTTCTCTTACTTTGGTGAAGATCTAATGCCCTGAGAAGCTGCCCCACGTGGAGTTTTGTGATGCTGCAAGTAGGGATTGTTTGCCGCCTTGAGGATTCCAGGTTTCCAGAAGCTCTAATGGCCTGAACTACTTCTCCTCCTTGGAACCCCAGTCCCTGTCCACTCTCTATTTATTGCATTCCCTTACCCTCGGCCTCTCCTCTCACTGGTGACCAGAAGCACTCTTGGTTCTTGTCTCACGAGCAATGTACAATCGTGTTAGTTGGCAGTGCAGCTTGGGTACCCTGCCACGTGTGGTCTGTTGGCAAGCCAAGTTGTTCTCGGGGGCTCCTGGCAGCAATGGAACTTCATTTCTTTTATTGAAAAGAGGAAGAAACAGTGAAGACGATTCTGGCTCTGCTACTGGACAGAGAGTCCCAGCAGTCTCATTTTTCATCCCTCCTGCCCCCCCACCCCCAGCCTGCCTCCCTTTGCCTACTGTCCAGAAGAGACTGTTGCCTCCTCAGCATCCCTGAGGATGAGAGTGGGCATCCCTGAAGCATGCCTGTGTAGAAGCGAGAGATACCAGGCTAAGTGCCCATGTTGGTTTGCTCCAGTAATTGTTCTTGCTTGCTTTGGTTTTAGCTGCAGCTGTGTGAGCAAGTATCCTGTGGAAGGAATTGCTCTTCATAAAAAAGAAAATTTGATTCTTAACCCTATTAAGTAATTGAATTCCCCCCCCACCAAAGTTGCTTTCTAATTGGCCAGAAGATGTAAACCCCCATGTACATGCAGGTAGATATTCAAGGGCTAATATATGATAAGAAAGCAATTGTCCGAGGTTTCTTAATGCCTTAGTGGCACGTGGGGCTATATAAATCAAAAGAAAAGGCAGCAGACAAGTTGTGTTCCTCGTTATTGAAGTTCTGCCTCAACGCAAAGGCATCCGCCCTGATGGCCTGAACCCTGGGTTCTAGGAAAATCTGACTCCCTAATTCTCTTTCCAACTTCATCTTAAGTTCCCAGCATAAACTCTTATTTATTTTCTGCGGTGCGGTCATTTTCACGCACTTTTACAAAATGGTAGTACTACTGTGTCGTGGTTTTGAAACATGAGACATGTAAGATTAAATGCGAAATATCTGCTTTGGGGACAAGCAGGATGAGGCTGAAGATGAGTTTTGCAGAAGAAGCTGCGAGATGGAAGAGCAACTTGTTTGAAAACTGACGGTGTGGCCAGAGGAACTTGGAGTTTGGTTTCTGTGCGGCGTAGGATGGCAGCTCCTGTGGACACTCTGAATGGCAGCACGTCACCTCCTGTAGAGACGCTCCCAGTGTGACAGTCTATTTCCAAGGGTTGTCTGTGGCTTTGTGTATATGTTTTCTGGGGGTTATTTGAATATCTATTTTCCTGAACTGATTTAGCAGGGAATGGAATCCATTCCACCTGTTGCACGTAGATTTCCCAGCTCCCCTACATACATAAACTTGTGAGTGGCAAAGTGGCACTAATGAAGCTTTTTTTGCCTTTTGTACATTTGAGATTTTTTGTATATAGTGTTTGCTGCAAGGCCTGTGGAATTCATTAAATTTAGAGGTATCACCTACTGCATGTTCAGGCATATTATAAAACTTTAGTCTATGAAAGAATGATTCTAATAATGTCCAGGTGCAATACTCTGTATGTGTATTGGTTCAAGTTACCGAAAGATAAAGTGTTTCTTTTTTTTTTTGGGGGGGGGGGCGGGGGGGGGGAGGTTGGCTTCTTTGTATTATTTCATTTGGTTTATTTTAAAAGATGTAAACATATATTAAGCTATATTGAATCTCACATATAGTTCTCCTGTGCTCTATTGTGCCCTGATGGAGATAGAATGAGAAAGGAATATTCTGGATGGTCGTTTCAAAGCTTGGACAGCAACTCGCTTGAGCCCAATGGAGAGCTGGTGTCCACATTTGTATCCGGCTGCTCAGAGCCTTTGTTACGAATGATGACATTCAGTTCTCTTGTTTGTTTTTTTTATTTTATTTTTTTTAAAAAACTCAGGTGTAATTATTATCTGTTCTTAGGATAATTTCAAATGTCACACTCTATTTCTTTGTGTGTTTGGCTATACCCGCGAAGTGATGAAAACCAGTAGGATTAATTTAATTTATCTTCGGTAACTTGATGTACGGGGGAGAGCTTATCTTCTGGAGTTGAGTACAAGCACAGGAACATCTTCATAGTTGCATCATCTCATCTTATTGTTAAAGGAACGTGACAATCCTGCCCCCACCTCCACCCCCCCCACCCCCATGCATCACTACTGCACCGTCTCCTCTGCTTCCTTCCAACTTGAAACCAGCCAGCACCACCTACCCCAGGACCCAGTGGTTCCTGTAGGGCTGGCAGGTGTCTCACACCTGCAGGCTGAGGTCCAGGCTCCAGGATAGCTGGCATCTTAGCTGGGAAGTCAAATAATAATACATTCCCCCAGCAGCTCCAAACAGTCCGTGAGTCCCCAGGTTCAGACAAGCTCCCTCTCAGCACCCCTGGCCGCTGGGGGACCCTCCTTGCGTGCATCTGGAGCTGACCAAGTTCTCCTGAGGGCAGGTTCAAATCCCCTGTTGTCTATAGGATAAAGCTGAAGCGTTCCTGGAGAATTCATCGTTTCCTTTTAGTTCTCACCAGAGTTTGGAAGAAGACACACTGTTCCATTTCTGCCTCTTCTTTCTCATCTTTCCAACTCTCTCTCTCTCTGTCTCTCTCTGTCTCTCTCTCTTTCTCTCTCTCTCTCTCTCTTTTTTAAAGAAAAAAAAGAGTGCAAAAAAAAGCCAAAAAAATATCTTAAGGATAGTTGTTCTCCTGTGTTCTCTCATTATGGACTTTGTGAAGTGGAAACATAATTTTTCCTTCAAAGGTGAAAAACAAAAACCACAATGCATTCTTGCTTTAAAAAGAAAAAATAAAGAAGGCTAAAAAGTTACCTCTTTTTAAATTATGTGCAAAAGAATTCTGGCTAAACATAAAATGTATTAAATTTTAGGGTTTTTTTTTGTACCGTGATGCTTTATTGTACTTTTTTTTTCTTTCTGGATGTAATTTTAATCTCTTGCCATTCATTAGTGTTATTTCATCGTAAACATTATTGTGCCAAATGTACTGTATTCAAAAGGATGTGAATGTGTATTGTTACAGAACCTAATAAATACAATGATGTTAAATCTTATTTCTCATTCCCCTGTGAGCTTTAATATCGCTTCTCTGATGGCACCAGTGAGGCTTGCTTGTTGGTTTTTTATTTGCTCCCCACACCCCACCCCCATACACACACCCCTCACCTCCCACTGTGCTCAGGCTTACTCCTTCCTCTGCTCAGGGATCACTCTGGCTGTGCTCAAACATGCAGTGCCAGCCATGGAAATCATGGCCGGCTGTGTGCAAGGCCTAAGTCTTCAGCCTCTTTGCTCTCTCTCCCACCCCAGTGACACTCAGTGTACACCTTCTAGGACCTAACCTTGGGATCCTGATGGCACCTCAGCTGTTCTGGGTGGGGATTGCACAGAACAATGTGGTCATGAAGCCACCGCTCAGGCTCTGAGTGCCAACACCCTTTCCTGCCTGGAAGGTGGTCCCTGGGGGCAGTGGAGCTAGGCTCGGCCTCCACCGGGCATCTGGAAAGCCTCACCTCATGCCCGTTCCACTCAGCGTTCCTCTCCCAGGAATGGAGGATGGGAGCAGGAGCCAGCAGCAAGTCTTGAGGCACGACTAGGTAGTTCTGGAGCACCCGGGGCATGCTCCTCCATCCTGGGAGAAGGACACGGTAGACACTGGGCTGCTAGGGATCTGGTGGGCATTCCAGTGAAGTCTGTCCACCCAGAGGTGTTCAGACAAGGACAGCAGAGAAAGAACTGAATGGATGGTGCCTGCTGCCCCCGCAGTTAGCCAGACCAGCTCCTTCCCTGTGACCAGCCCTCTGTGGGGGCCACAGCTGCCCTGGCCAGTCTAAACAACCATGGTCCAGTGAGCATATTTGATCCCTAAGCACCACTCGGGTCCCCGAGTACTTAGCCGGAGTAGACTTGAGGATTGCCAGGTGTGGCCCATAAACAAGACTAAACTGAATCAGTCGTGGTCCAGGCGCCAGGAAGAGAGCCCAAGTGGTAAGAGCAGATACCTAGCCTAAGCCAGGCCCTAAGTTTCATCCTGGGTCCCTCCTGTCACCCAGCCCCTGAGACTGCTAGGTGCAGCCGTGGTGACCCTGCACCCCCAACACTGAACCCTCAGACCTGCATCCCTGGACCAAGCCAGAAGTGACCCTTGTTTTAAAATATTCACAATATATATATTTTTTAAGTCCTTCCTCTGCAGGCTCAGCTTTCCAAGTCATTCCATCGGTTTCAGGTCATTTGTTTGTGTCCTGTGTGGGTGGCAGTGGTGGTGGTGGTATGTGTGTCGGGGGGAGAGGGTTGGTAGGCTCAAAGCCCCCCCACCCCCGCTGGGGGAGGCCAAGCAGGCTTAGTCTTCCTCAGTTCTCCCCACCCCAGCACCCACCCGGCTAGAGTCCAGCTAAGGTGCAGAGATGAGGAGGTGGGGAGGAGGAGAAGGGCTGGACTGGGGTCAGTGCACACACTTAGCCGTTACTTGCCGTCAAGAGGCATGGACTAGATGCTCTGGGAATGGTCGAGGGTCCGTTTCCGTCTGCTCAGTTGGGGGGAAGGGGACTGGGCTCCAGTGTCCCTCTGGGAGATGACAGTTAGGCTACCTCTTGGAGAAGAGAGAGCTCCAAGTTCCAGCAAGGTCTAGAAAGAAGTCACTTGGGCCAGCCCCCAGAGAAGCATGCACTCAAGCCCAGGCAGGAAGACCAGCCCGTGATTCGGATCTGCCTGGAGCTGGGTCCTCAGTCCTGCTCGTCCCAGCAGATTCCTGGAGACCCGATCGGCTGGTAAGCAGCTCTGTCCAACTCCTACACACTCTTCACTTTCTCTTTGCAGGGAGATTTCGCCCACCTATGAAATAGTGCAAGTGGCCAAAGGAACGTTCTGAATCTTAGGAACTTCCAGGGTGAGCTTCCCCAGGGAAGGCGGCAGAAACATCTCCCCTTTTCCCCATTCCCGCCAGGAGTGAGCCCCACAGCCTCCACCCTCAGAGACGCCTCCCACTACAAAAAAGAAAAAAAAAAGCCCTCTCTGAGGACTGCTCTGAGCAGGAAGCCAAGCTTGCAGTTCGCTGGAAAACAGGAAATGCCTCCCAGAGTCTGAAGTCTTTTAAGTCCCTGGGCTCTTCAAGCAGGGTCTAAGTCCCAGACCAGCTGGGGGGGGGGGGGGGGGGGGAACAGACAAGCGCATGAGGTCACCCTGACTGCGGGGGTGTGGCCCCTGGCACCACTCGGGAGTCCAGTCAAGTCCTGCAGCAGAGCTGATGCTTATCCCCTGCTAGAAACATGGAGGGACGTTCCGCACACGACCAGGGTGCAG